AAAATCTTTATGAGTACAAACATACAAAGAAAAAGAAAGAGATTTTCAAGTGACCAAGAAAAACTTACTAGAGAATGAGGAACTCTAAGCAAGAATGTTACCATGACGAAGAGTGAAAGCAAATGCTGTAGAAGTAGGACAAGAAAGAGGAGATGCTGATACATGGGAAGGTCATGGGGCAGAAGAAATAAAAGCCTTATTTCCATGGTTGAAAAGTGAATATAAGGTAAAGAATGGGACCTGGGAGTATAGAGACTACTTAGAATAGAAGAGCTCTTCTCTAACGGGAAGCAGAGAGGTAAGGCACATAATGAAGCAAAGAACTTGCTCATTTTTTTAATATGAAAGACACATGAGAAGGTTAGAGGATGCAGGGAAAAGTGCCAGTAGAAAGTGAGACACAATAATAACAATCTTCTGGTTCTTAAAACACACACAAACACACACACAAACACACACACAAGCAATGTTCTGGTTCTTTTTAGAGACACACACACACACAGAAGATAAAAGAATCAAGACATCAATCTAAAACAAAACATCTCTTCTTTGCAGGCTAAGAAAAGGAAATATTGATTAGGGCACATAAATATATATTTGCATACAAAGAAGTAAGACACTTAGAGAATTCATATCTGGAAAGCTCCATTTTTCTTAACGCAAGAGTAAGCAAGGGCTCCTCCTCCTGAGAGAGAATTGGGCAGAAGCAAAGCAGAGGGTTCGATGAGACTGACAAGGGCTTGTAATAGCTCTTATGGAACCCTGAAGAAAGAACATCTAGGAGGATTCCAAAGCAACAGAGAGAGAGCAACTGAAGTCAGAAAATATATATTTACTATCAAGCCATGTCATATACTCTCTGCTTAATTTCCTGAGTACCAGAAAAGATACAGAATTGAATGGACCTAAAGTTGGGCAACTGCAGGCAGAAAACTCTGACAGAGAAATGCGCAAGAATTCTTTTAAAAACATGGCAACAACAACAACAATAAAAATGCAGTGAGGCACCCTGAGGTCTTTAGTAGATAGGGAAGAGAGCAAAACCATGGAGGGCTGAGAGAATAATGGGGGGAAAGGAGCTAAATATTACATTTTGATATCAAGAAATTAGAAAAATCTAAGTTTGTAAATGAGATAACATATGAACTTATATGTCTTTTTCCTTCTCTTGAAGAATAAATTATAACTTCTACACTTTCTCCTCCCCTACTAAACACTAGCTTGTGAAACCCATTAATTATTGGTCTATCTCCATCCCCTTTGCTTTGAGTTAGATAAAGAAATTCACGCAAGAATGAAGAAAAGTATAAGATATCATCATACTCTCAAAAGAGCTTACTATATGCTTAAGGAAACAACATAAAAACAACAGAACAATAAAAGCTATCAGGTTCACATGGCAAATTGTGTGACATAAGCAAAAGCAAGAAAAATTCAGAATAGGCAGGGAGGCCTTCAAATTTACAATACAGTTTCTGCCGGGAGCAAGGGCTCAGGCCTGTAATCCCAGCACTTTGGGAGGCCAAGGTGGTTGGATCACAAGGTCAGGAGTTCAAGAGCAGCTTGGCCGGCACAGTGAAACTCCATCTCTACTAAAAATACAAAAAATTAGTCGGGTATGGTGGCAGGCACCTGTACTCCCAGCAACTTGGGAGGCTGAGGCAGGAGAGTTGCTTGAACCCGGGAGGCAGAGGTTGCAGTGAGCCGAGATCATGCCACTGTACTCCAGCCTGGATGACACAGCGAGACTCTGTCTAAAAAAATTAATTGATAAAATACAATTTCTTCTTTCATGATAAATAAGATATCTATTAGTGTAGGGAATTATGGATGGGACAGTAGGAGTAAAAATAATGTTGTATAGGCATTGGTATGCAAAAAAGACTAAGAGAAGATTCATTTTAGTCAATAACTAGAGAAGAGATCGTATAGAGAAATCGGGGCCAGATTACGAAGCATTCGGGACATTTTAGCTCAGACAGAGAATAAGCAAAGAAGGATCACGGGGTAACACGGAGTGTTCAAAAATAAAAACAACATTTTATGGAAGTTTTTCTCCCATTAAAGTGCATATGTGCCTGATTAGATGACTGATACATTACTGTAGGGGAAAGAATGGACTGTATATTATTGCAATATAACAGATTAGGTTATATACCCTACTATGAATTGAAGAACTGCATCTAATAAGAATCAGTATGGTTGTATATTAATTTCAAATATAGATCTGTTACAGAAAATAATGATTATAGTGTATCTTATAAATGTGTAAAATATATTTTCCAAAGTCATTAATAAAAGTGACCTCATTTACCATACTAACAATCATTAAAAAATAAAAGTTACTAATAAACTCTATTTACTAATAAAATTTACCATTTTTAAAAGTATGTAATAGAGGAAATAATACTTACTGCAATGCTTTGAATGTTCCAAAGTTTCCTCAGCTTTCCTAGTCTTACACAGTTCAAAGTACTGAACACACTGTTGAATGGCTGTAGTTATCTGATGAAATAATAAGTTATTAATTCCAGAACTTCGCAGCCCTCAAGTCCAAGAATTAAAAGAAATTAGTCAAAGCTGTAAAAATGCTTTGGAGAAATATTTGAGAAAAATATTTAGTACAGTACCTTTCTAGCTATTAAAGCTCAGCCTCCTCAATTACATTTTAACTATGGCATCACTCTGGTGAACACTGTGAAAATATTTGTGGACCAACAAATACAATAATGTTTATAATGTTGGTGTCATTGGACAGAAATAAACATATACTTTATATTTTATAGTGAAAGATGCAAAAACTCTGTGGCCATGACCATAACTTTAGAAACTATCTTGTCCAGTTCCTTTGCCTTAGAATCTTTTCCTCCTACCCAGCCAGCAAAATATCAAGTGGATCAAGTCTTTATTTCCATCTCAAATACCAGAATTGCTAAAAGTTGATAAAGAAAAATCTCATAAGTCAAAGAAAACAGTCACAATAAAAAAATGATCTCCAACCCCTACTGTACCCAGCGATTCTCCTATTAGTCTCCATTCTAACTCCTCCTCTCATTCTCCACAAGCAGAGGCTTCAAACCTTCTCCCCTTTCCTCAGCACCTGCCTACCCATCGATGGCCTCTTATCCTAATTCCCAAAAAAAATAGAAGTTACCAGTGATATACAGTGTGATAATTGTTAAGTCTGGTAACAAGGCAGTTGTTGGGGACCTTGACAAGATCAGTTTCAGAGGAGTTTGGTGAATAAAGCCAGACTATACCAAATAAAGGAATAGGAAGTGAAAAAGTAAAGGCAGTTAGCATAATTTTTATTTTCAGGAAAGACAGTGAGGAAAATTTTTAAAACAGACCAACAACTGTATCTTAGAGTCAAGATTAAACTCTTTTTCAGGTTAGAAGGATATGGTTATGCTTAAATGTTACTGGGGGAAGCCAACAGAGAGGAAGAGTTTGACTACATAGGAGAGAAAGGGGAGAGTTGATAGAAAACAAATACATACAAGAGGAAGAAGCAGATGGAATCCAAGTGGAAGGAAGGATTAATTAAGTTTTAGATAGGAAAGAAAATGAAGGTTTGAAAAGAAGCAAGTTCATAATTGCAGCATCAAGGAATCAATGGATTTTCCCATCTCGTTCATTTTTATGCCCTCAGTTGTATGCAGAAAAGAGGTAACGTGGCAGGACTTCTATCTTTAGAAAAGGCCTCCTTACAAAGTGGGATTTTGATAGCATTTAGGAACTTGGATTTCAGGAGGGCTGTCATCATTCTGAGAACTGAGAATGGCTGACAATGTTTACACAAATAATGTGGTTTATGAGGAATACCTGCTTTCCCTCTAGGAGTCTTGGACCCTGGTATGTACGAGGCAGAGGGTTTCTATGTGATCAGCAGCCCTTCCTCAAAAACAAAAACCAGGCACTGAGTGTCTTTTTTTTTTTTTTTTTTATACTTTAAGTTCTAGGGTACATGTGCATAACGTGCAGGTTTGTTACATATGTATACTTGTGCCATGTTGGTGTGCTGCACCCATCAACTCATCAGCACCCATCAACTCGTCATTTACATCAGGTATAACTCCCAATGCAATCCCTCCCCCCTCCCTGCTCCCCGTGATAGGCCCCGGTGTGTGATGTTCCCCTTCTCTAGTCCAAGTGATCTCATTGTTCAGTTCCCACCTATGAGTGAGAACATGTGGTGTTTGGTTTTCTGTTCTTGCGATAGTTTGCTGAGAATGATGGTTTCCAGCTGCATCCATGTCCCTACAAAGGACATGAACTCATCCTTTTTTATGGCTGCATAGTATTCCATGGTGTATATGCAGGCACTGAGTTTCTAATGAACCTCCCTGGTATATAACATTTCACATAAGTTGCCACAATTCAATGCTGAAAGAATCAAGCACGTCTTATGTGATTCTAGTGGGGAAAAGACTCTTGGAAGCGATTTCATATCTTCCATACTTCACTCAATGAACTTTTTCCTCTTTGCTGATTGTTCTTTGTATCCTTTCATTGTTAAAAATGATAGCTGAGAGCATAACTATATGCTGAATCCTATGATTCCTCCTAGCAAATCGTTAAACCTGGGGGTTGTCTTGGGGACCCCTCCCCCTCCCATATCTACGAGTCTTTTCTAAATCAAACGTCAGGGATCCAGACCCATGCCTCCTAGAAATCTGCATTTCAAATATGACTAAATCTAACAAATCTAAAAATCATTATCTTTTCCAGCAAATGTGTGCCTCCCACTGTGTTACTTATCTCAGTGAATGACATTAATCATCAGTTGTCTGAGGCCTCAATCACAACCCCCTCATTCAAAAGTCCTCTAAATCCTACATGCTAAATAAAGTATTTTGAGTCCATCCATTTATCCCAATTCTGTCTTATCCTTCTTCCATGGTTCCATCATCTTTTGCTTGGATTATTACACAATGTATTAAATATCTTTTTGCTTCAATACTTCTCCCCTATCTCTACCTAGAACTTTCAATCCATTTTCTAACAAAAAACAAAATAAAACAGAAGTGGATTAAAATAACAACTGACACTTTAGGAAACTCTTGACATGAAAAATTTATAAAACAATACACTTAAGAGAAGCTCTAAAGAATTAGAAGACAAAAGAACAAACAATAGACAGCTTCTTTAACTGAAAACTCAAAACACTGTCTCCAAAATAATCTCTCTCAAAGACTCTTCCGTTCATTCAAGGCTTTAGAAATCTACCCTCCTTGCAACCATTCCTACTCAGCTTTATCTTCACTATCCACTTACTTACACTCCCTTCTTTTCCTTCTACTCTTTCCCTTATATCTTCTTAAACATGCTATCTTTATTTGAGAAAAGGCAGCAATCACAGGAAAGAAAAGGAATAATCTCAGGACACAAACAATCATATTACATGACATCCCTTTAAACCACAGGAGCAGAAAGCAGATCTATAGTATGTGAATTTAAATACTAGTCTAAAGAGTCAAGGTGAGAGTATAATGAATGATTTTTCTAACCCCTGTGAAAATAGACACAAATTTGCTATAAAATTCAGGGTTGTATTTGATACTTATTGCCCTATACTATCAAATATATACCAGCCAGTTCATTTAATTGTTAACCCCTAAGACAGAGATTTTTAAAAAGGTTAAGTAAAATAAGACAGGAAAAACCAAGCGAGAATTTAAATGACCAAGCCGTCAAGTCATTTTTTAAAATGACTTTCAGAGAGCAGTAAAAATGGCATTAAATAAAGCTGTTTCAGAAACCATTCCTTTAGGGGTTGACTGAATCAAGATTCAAATTGTTAAAAATTAAAAGTTAAATATTTACGCTGACAGCCAAAACTTTTAACCAGTTCATGTCTTTGAGATGCTATAGGAACAAAGATTATCTTAACTTTTTCAGGGATATCTATAAAAAACCAACAGCATATACAAAAATTGATAGCTTAATGCCACCTACTGAAAATGTCATAAACATAAGACAGAATAGAACCACACAAATACAGTAGCCACCAACCACAGGCCTATTTAAATTTAAATTAATAAAAACTAAATAAAATTAAAAATAGAGTTTCCCATTTACTCTAGTCTCATTTCAAGTTTTCAGCAGTCATATGTGGCTCATGGTTACCATATTGTACAATGCAGATATGTCATCATTGCAGAAAACGACATCAGAGAGCACTGATGAGAAGCTAGAGGAAATATATCAGCAGATCATCATGCTAAACAGGCTGCTATGAGTAAAGTTCTTACACAAGAATCTCTTATAGAACAGAAACACAAATTGATGGAGTGGTCTGCAATTTCCATCACAGATGCACAAAATTTGACCCTTGGTTCTGAAAATACAACGGGAATAAACAGATCTTGCATCATTTTCCCCATTGTTTATTTTCAAAAGTGGGGCCAAGTTTACTTTAAAACAATAAATATAATATGAATAATATTTTGATACTTTGTAAATTTAGGAAAGCTTTTTAGAGCAACGAAGGTTGAAGTTGAAATGTCAAACAAGTTTGATACACTATATACATAAAATAAAATATTTGACTAGGTTGATAAAATATTAAGATGATTTATAATGACATAATTCCATTTGCAGGTTAAAAGTTACGGTATAGTTAACTTTTCAAATAAGAAACCAATTTTAAGAATTAATCTGTAAAAAACCTTATTTGAAATACTTTCACTGGAGCCTCTGTGATAGCAACAGTGATTTATTATCTGTAGATAAACCATGGGGAAAAATCATTCTGTTCTTTATTTTTCCTTTCTGTATTCTAGCAAGATCAGTTCATGCTCATAAAGCAAAAACAAAGTTTTATTTAAAATGGGAATAAGAGAAGAATGAAATATGGAGAAAGAATTATTTAAATTCAATTTCTCTAAAAATTTTTAAGTATATTTTACCTTTACAAATAAATTCTTACCCTATTATTCAATATCCCTCTCTTCTTCTGCTGCTCAATTCTCTTGATTCTCAAACACAAAACAATTATTGTTCTCCTTCCTTCCTTTTATGCTCTACTGCACTCAACCAAAAATCACAATTCCAGAATCTTTTCTTCATGTGACTTCTAAATCAAGATTCTGCCTAACTACATAACGATGTTTATTGACCCAAAGCTATATCAGTATAACATTCGAATATCTTAATAAATTTTGTGTTTTTCATTTTGTCAATTATTTATTAGATGTGCTGATTTCTTTTTAATTCTTTCAGTATCCTTACATATTGTTCTACTAGTAGTAACAAATGTAGATGATTTTGGTAATATATTTTAGAGTATTAAGTCTACATTTGGTATAACTCAAACCAATTATTGAAAATGCAAAAGTATTTATCATTATGAGTTTTGCCATGTAATTTTCACTGAAAAACATGGGTCTATATTATAGAAGTAATGGCTTTATTAATACTTGATCTGAATCAAACTACATGCTACTGCTTAAAAATATGGCTTCTCTCAAACCAGCTTGTTATTTATAGAAGCCAATTTACTATATACATAAAACATATTTTCTAATTGCTATCCTGACTGCATTCATTTTAAGTCTCTATTGTTATCACTTTATGTTCCACAGGATGGTAGTTTAAGATCACATAAAAGGCGAATTGCTTCATTATCCAATATTAATTATCACCATGCAACTTTGCATATTCAAGTTATTACATCATATATATTTTGGTAGTATTATTTCTCAACATAAAAAAGGAATTACAGACTTACCAGAGACTTATATTTCTTTTCAAGAAGTCTTAATACTGTAGTTCTGCTATAATGTGCATGCTAAAATTAAAAGGAAATGATATTTAATACTCAAGCTGTGCCACTCAAAATTTATTTTTCCTGCATTATCTTCAATGACAACATCATAAATCACACCATAGCTTAGGTTTAAACCATTATAGTCAATGACAGGTGTTTACGTGTGTATTGGATTAGGAGGATAGCAATCGCAAGAATACAAATCGTATCAAAAAATTTGCAGATCATTTAGTGACCGACCAGTAGAAGAACATTCTATCCATCAATTGTGTCCAATTTCCACACTAAACTATTTTAAAATCACCACCAAAAAAGTATACATATGACAGAATCCAAAAAAAGATACACAGTGGGGAAAAGAAAAAAAAAAAAAAAAAGCACAACTCTTATACTGAAGAGGACACTGTATGGTCTACATGTGCAGAAATCTGCCAACACTGAAATGCTCTAAAGTGACAGTACCCTAATCATTTTCTGCCAACCATAATTAAAAATGATTCAAAGTGTCAAAAGAGCTTTAAATCTCTCCTTGGAGCAAAATATAGATGTAATTAAAACATATAAATGTATAGCATTGGACAAAGCCAGGGAAAACTATAAATATTTTTTAGCTAGATTATATAAGATATCATTAGTGTTCAAAATATAGTTTCTTCATTTCACTTAGGAATAAAAATATTGGCCGGGCACGGTGGCTCACACCTGTAATCCCAGCACTTTGAGAGGACGAGGTGGGCGAATCACGAGGTCAGGAGTTCAAGCACAGTCTCAAACTGGCCAATATGGTGAAACCCTGTCTTTACTAAAAATATAAAAATTAGCCAGGCATGGTGGCACGCACCTGTAGTCCCAGCTACTCAGGAGGCTGAGGCAGAAGAATCGCTTGAACCCAGGAAGAAGAGGTTGCAGTGAACCGAGATTGTGCCACTGCACTCCAGCCTGGGTGACAGAGAGACTCCGTCTCAAAAAAAAAGAATAAATTTTTGACAAACCTAACAAAAACAAGCAATGGGGAAAGGATTTCCTATTTAATAAACGGTGTTGGGAAAACTTAACTCAAGATGGATTAAAGACTTAAACATAAGATCTAAAACCATGAAAACCCTAGAAGAAAATCTAGGCAATACCATTTAGGACATAGGCATGGGCAAGGACTTCATGACTAAAACACCAAAAGCAATGGCAACAAAAGCCAAAATTGATAAACGGGACCTGATTAAACTAAAGAGCTTCTGCACAGCAAAACAAACTATCATCAGAGTGAACAGGCAACCTACAGAATGGGAGAAAACTTTTGTAATCTATTCATCTGACAAAGGGCTAATATCCAGGATCTACAAAGAACTTAAACAGATTAAGAAAACAAATAACTCCATCAAAAAGTGGGCAAAGGATATGAACAGACACTTCTCAAAAGAACACACTTACGTAGCCAACAAACTTATGACAAAATGCTCATTATCACTGGTCATTGGAGAAATGCAAATCAAAACTGCAATGAGATCCCATCTCACATCAGTTAGAATGGCGATCATTAAAAAGTCAGGAAACAACAGATGCTGGAAAGGATGTGGAGAAATGGGAACATTTTTACACTGTTGGTGGCAGTGTAAATTAGTTCAACCATTGTGGAAGACAGTGTGGCAATTCCTCAAGGATCTAGAACTAGAAATACCATTTGGCCCAGCAATCCCATTACTGGGTATATACCCAAAGGATTATAAATCATTCCACTATAAAGACACATGCACACATACGTTTATTTCAGCACTGTTCACAATAGCATAGACTTGGAACCAACCCAAATGCCCATCAGTGATAGACTGGATAAAGAAAATGTGGCACATATACACCATGGAATACTATGCATCCATAAAAAAGGATGAGTTTGCAGGGAAATGGATGATGCTGGAAACCATTATTCTCAGCAAACTATCAGAAGAACAGAAAACCAAACACAGCATGTTCTCACTCATAATTGGGAGTTGAGTAATGAGAACACATGGACACAGGGAGAGGAACATCACACATCAGGGCCTATCGGGGGGTGGGGTGCTACAGGAGGAATAGCATTAGGAGAAATACCTAATATAGATAACGGGTTGATGGGTGCAGCAAACCACCATGGCACATGTATACCTATGCAACAAACCTGCATGTTCTGCACATGTACCCTAGAACTTAAAGTATAATAAAAAAAACTTTTTAAAGAATAAAAATATTAAACAGAATAATACAAGTCAAAATTTTTTCAGAATTCTAGGGAATAGAGGATTTTTGTATTGTTTTTCTTTTTTTTTTCTTTTTTTTGCTTTTTAAATAGAGATGGGGTTTTGCTATGTTGGCCAAGCTGGTCTCAAACTCCCAACCTCAAGTGATCTACCCACCTCGGCCTCCCAAAGTGAGGGATTACAGATGTGACCCACCACACCCAGCTGGGAATAGAGTTTTTAATTAAACATTGATTAAATTCTGTTTTGGTTAACTGAAGGTTAATCAAAACCTTGTGTTTTAAACCTCGTAGCTTAAAATGTTTTCAAAAACTATTAATCCTTTTTTCAAATTTAATAAGAGAAATAAGTTGACATAGTATTAAACTATTTTTAATATTGAACATGTTCTGAAAATAAATCCTCATAGTATATCTCTTAGATCAGGGTCAGTAAACTACAGCCCTCAGATCAAATTCTGCCTAGACCCAATTTTGCAAAAAAAATTCACTTCAACAGTCAAGTCCATTCATTTGCCTATTATGTATAGATGCTCTGGAGCTACAACAATTGGGTTGAACAGCTGCAATAGGGACTGTACAGCCCATAAAGTCAAAAATATTTATGGTCTGGCTCTTTACATAAAAAATCTGGCAACTCCTGCCTTAGATGCAAAAATTATAGGAGGATGTGACGAATTTTCATGTATACTAGAACACATTTCAGAATGTGATTTTTAAATAAATTTGTACCCCATTCTCTTAAGAATCAACTCCTAGGCCGGGCGCAGTGGCTCACATCTGTAATCCCAGCACTTCGGGAGGCCGAGGCAGGCGGATCACCTGAGGTCAGAAGTTCGAGACCAGCCTGGCCAGCATGGTGAAACCCTGCCTCTACCAAAAATATAAAACTTAGCCGAGCGTGATGGCAGGCACCTGTAAAACGAGCTACTCGGCCGGGCGCGGTGGCTCACGCCTGTAATCCCAGCACTTTGGGAGGCCGAGACGGGCGAATCACGAGGTCAGGAAATCAAGACCATCCTGGCTAACACGGTGAAACCCCGTCTCTACTAAAAATACAAAAAAAATTAGCCGGGCGTGGTGGCGGGCGCCTGTAGTCCCAGCTACTCGGGAGGCTGAGACATGAGAATGGCGGGAACCCGGGAGGCGGAGCTTGCAGTGAGCTGAGATCCGGCCACAGCACTCCAGCCTGAGCGACAGAGCGAGACTCCGTCTCAAAAAAAAAAAAAGAATCAACTCCTAGCAATAAGAAAGTCAAATGAAAAAAAAAGTTAATTACAAAGTTAGTAAAATATGACTGATTTTGTTAAAAAAAAAAATGACCTAAACAGATAAATATAAAAGTATATACAACATATCTACATGAAACAAAATCTTAACAGTTGTTATCCCTGCATTGTATAATTAGAAAATTTTAATTTTATTTAAGTTTTTACATATTTTGCATATTTTCTCAAATAACGGTACAATTTGATAATCAAGAAAAAAAACTTTAAGTGTTAGATGTGAGGAACAAAGGGTTCATTTTAAATTAATTTAATTTAATTGAGTAAACATTAATCACATACTAGATAGGCCAGGTAAGGGTTAACCACTGAAGACAGAATTGTGTTCTGGTTAATCGGGCATTTATCATACAACTTAGTAAAAGGTACAAAGCACCATCGCTAGATAACATCCAAATTGTGCTGAAGTGTAAATGAATGCCCCAGCCCCTCTCTTCTCAAGTGCAAGAAATAATAGTACCTAGGTGCCCAGTACAGAATGAGAGAGAAAACAATGTGAGCACAAAAGTCAGTCCTGTTGCTACTACTGACAAACACAGACGTCTCTTATTCGACAGAGGTTGAGGGAGGTAACAGTATAAAGATCTCTCTACTCTTAATATTAGTGACAGTGCCAGCTTCATAAGAAATTGCCAGGTTCAGACACTAAACACATTCCCCAAACTTCAGATTCAAGAGGGAGGCAAATGAAAAAATACTTTCAGAAATATCTCCTAAGCCCGAAAAAAATACGTACTGAATCCTTATGTTATACCACATCTGCTTAAAATTTTTGAAGCTTTTACACTAAAGAAAAAATAGATTTTGAATAAGTCATTCAGCTTAAATAGATTCAAATGAAATACCACTTAAAATCCTATTCTGGCTCTGCCACTTAACAGGTAAAAAATCTTGGGCAAGTTAACTTCTCCATTATCTCAGTTACTGCATCTGAAAAAATGGGGGGTATTAATACCACCAACCTCATAAATTTTTATAATAAATGAGTTAACACATGTAAAACTGATTAGAACTCTTAGTACACAATAACTATTCAAACATTAGCTATTTATTAAAATGATATAGCAATGCACTAAAAGGTATAAAAATATTCTATTTTTCCTTACCATCCACTTTTTGAACCACACAGCCTTGGTATCAACTAATGCAAAAAAGTAGATCGGATCCAAAATCTTTTGTGAGACAACATGGCTTTGATCATGTTTAACTGTTAACAAGGACAAAGTACTCTCCACAATTTCTTCCATATACCTTACGGTTTGGGAAAAAAGAAATGCAATTACTTATATAGTACTGGTGGTAGACTTTATATTTATGGAATTGAGTAAACATTAATCACATACTAGATAATGGGCTCACCACTGGTGACAGAATTGTGTTCTAGTTAATTGGGCATTTATCATACAACTTAGTAACAGGCACGAAGCACCATCGCTAGATAACATCCAAACTGTATAAAGTAGCATATAATCTTCAGAAACATTTTCTCTGTTTCAGTAAATGACATAGGTAGGATTCATACTCAATGTTTCTGCTTTAACAACAGGTTCTTTTTACTTCAACACTGGATCTGCAAATTTAACTTTCCTTTTTAGACTCACAGATTCTCTTACAACTTAGAATAAATTTTAGAGCTGAAAGGAAAAAGTTTAAAGAATATTTAAGGAACTTGCCCAAAATGTAATAGTAAAGACCAATAAGAACCTAACGCAGATCTTCAGATCACTGATACGTTAAAAAAAAAAAAAAAAAAAACTAATGCTACATTTTCTTTTTGCCTTGTGATAAATGATGTAAAGTGGTACTTGTGATTCACATAGCTAAGTATAAAACACGACAAGCTTAAGAAAAATAAAAATAAAAATTTTATTAATCCCTTCCCAATCGTGTCAGTCCATTAAGACTGTCTTTACTCTTTCTGTCTGAAAGGTATATGGGGCGGTAACACTGCTAAGTTCTAGGCTGGAATACATTGGGAGGGGACTTACTTCTCTGGATGACGAATCCAGAAAGATGGAGCTTCTTTCTGATATTCATTTAGAAGACGAACCTACAAAGCAGTGCACAATAGTTCTCAAAAAATTAGCACCCTCAAATATAAAACTAAATAAATAAAAATGAAAGCTTATTCTAGTAAATGGATACCTTTTTAAGTAAACGAGTCATATTAGGATTAGTTATATCTACACCAGCTGAAAGAGTAGGAATATGATTTTCCCTAGAAAGAAAGTATGACTCCAAATACTTAGCTGAAAAAAAAGGGAAAACATAAAAAAATTACATCATTCATTTACAGTGCTTTCTGAAAAAAGTTATTTCCTATCCATTCTTAAGTACATGCAAATGACAAAAACATTTTTAAATGTTTTCATAAACATACCTAAGCTTGTATAAACTTCCTTGGTCATATGTAATGGAGAAAGTGAAAATGTCTGTGCACAGAATTTTAAAATCCGGTCCTACAGAAATGAGACAGAAAATTTGCATCTAAGATCTTACAAGAATAGAATAGAAATGAAACATTTTTCACACAGTAAAAATCCAGAAAATAAAATAAATACAAACAAGCCATTCAGAAAGCAGAGTCAGAATGTACTTATTTAAAAAGGGCACACTCTTGTGTCAGCAAAAATTAAAACTGACCAAAACTAATATGTGAATCTAATAACAGAAAGATATTACTGCACAATCTGGTCATAGTAGATATTGACATGGTGAGGAGGGGGTAAGGTGAGGTTTCATAGAGGAACTATATAAAGGTGTCAAACAAAGGAACAGAGTAGGCAGTACCAATTTTTTTTTAACACCCTGTATTTCCAAATCCAAAATTCATCATTTTTAATCGCTTACATGGGTAGCTTCAGTAATTAAAGATTTAGAATTATTCCTAATAATTTTGCCTATTCCCAAGAAAATTACTCTATGTTTAAATTTTTACATTATTAAAACTCAAAATAGAAACCAGTAGAAGGTAAATAAGTTAAAAGTGGCAACAGATGTAGTTAGCACAATGCCTGGCACTAAGACTTACTTTAAAATGATAGCTATTATTATCCATTTAATTATACCTACTTTAATATCATGATGAGATTAATCCTAACAGTGAAATTTGACTTTCAATTAAATAAAAACATAAAATTGCCTTAAATAGTCTAATCTGGGGGGAGAAATTAATAACTCTGTTGATATCAGTTTAGATAATCCACTTACAAGAAGAAATAGTTCCCCCAAGTTACTAAAGGTATCTTCTTATAGCCCCAAGAAATTCCTACTGAACAAAGGATATTAAACACTTTGGGAAGTCTATTTTTATAGTTGCAGCAACTGATAGGTATCTGTCACACTTTTCAACCCTATAGGCTTCACTCAGTTGCATGTAAGAGTCCTCTAGAGGACGAGATGAAGAAATAGAATTGAACTCAAAAAGAATTTGGATCAAGCACAAATTTAAAATGAAAAAAACTCCATGCCCTGTTTTCTACTTCAAAATGACTAATTTTATTGGCATCTCTCCTCTATAATAATTGCTTCCAATTTTATTAGCATAAGTAATAAAACTGAACCTTGCTGCATAACAATTTTAAATGGCTACAATTTGCTATTTTATAAAGTTATTTCATAATTTGTAAAATAAAGGAAACCTACTAGGCTACTATTCTGTATTTATTAAGTAAAAGAAAAAATAAAGGGAAATTTACAATTGCATCTGTCATTAGAGAGCTTGAAATGTTAAAGATAACCCTGAGATACATTTTTTTCACCTTGAAGTTCTTGGATCATTGAGTGGTTCCAGAAGTCTACAATACCCTCTGGTGTTAACAAGGTTGAACTGCATCCAAGTATTAGGTAAACACCTTCTTCCCCTTCCAACAATTACAAACAGAGATTCCCAAACCACTTCTGTTTACCAGTATAACCATATCTTCATTAACGGTAGACTGATTTTAAATAGACAAATATATTGGGATACCTTATATTTTTTTACAAATATTTATTTATTGTCTGCGTTATCTACTGAAATCTAAGTTCTCTGAGGGCAAAGATTTTGTGTCCTGTCCCTGGTGTGTTCCCAGTGTCTAAAGGAGAATGATACACACTGTAGATACTCAATACATATTTGCTGAACAAAGAGCAAAATGTAACTCTTCTTCTCATGCCTTATATTCTATGCCACACATCATATCGATTTTAAAGCCAAAACTATCTTCACTGATAAATCAATTAGGAAGAAAAGATCCTCTAAAAGGAAATACAATTTGTGTTTAAAATGTAATTCTTGGATAATCAGGGGTTTTTTTCCTTCATTTTCATCATAGACACTATCTGCAGAATTACTGCACTTGTTCATGTAAAGCTTACTTTTCATCAAACAATAACTGTTCCTAAAAAGTAACTTTATGCAAATCAAATTTTAAATAAAATCATATCTGACTTCATAATTTTACAATTTTAGAAACTTTCTATATTTGTGTTATGATTCACCTCAAATTATTTTCTAAAATCTCAGCATTAGTTTTCTTGCTTCTCTCTTTAAGCAGTTAAGCAATCTCTAAGTAAACACTTAAATACATGAGGAAAATGTTTATAAGTCCTTTTGACCATAATTCACCATTTTTAGTTCAAACTTTCATATACCATGAATCCTTTTAAAATATTTTTTCTTTTTTTTTAATTTGAGAGTATCATAAAACAGCATTATTCAAAAGCAATGACACAGCCAGGCGTGGTGGCTCAAGTCCGTAATCCCAGCACTTTGGGAGGCCGAGGCTGGAGGATCACTTGAGCCCAGGAATTCAAGACCAGCCTGGGCAATGTGGTGAGGCCCCATCTCTACAAAAAATACAAAAATTTGCCAGGCATGGTAGTGCATGCCTATAATCCCCAGCTACCTGGGAGACTGAGGTGGGAAGGTCACTTGAGTTTGGGAGGTTGAGGCTGAAGTGAGCTGTGATCATGCCACTGCACTCTAGCCTGAGTGACAGAGCAAGACCCTGTCTCAAAAAGCAAAACAAAAATGAAATAAAATACTAGGATATTCCTTTACGAGACAAAATGCACAAGGTAGCAGTGTATTATTTGACAATGAAGTATGACCATATTTTAAATCTAATCATAAAATTTTCTTAAGAAAAATTTTGACAATTAGAAAGCTGAAACTGAAGTTCCATAAACGTGTGAGTTACTATTAAAGAAAACTATTGGCCAGGCATGGTGGCTCATGCCTGTAATCCCAGCACTTTGGGAGGCCGAGGTGGGTGGATCACCTGAGGTCAGGAGTTCGAGACTAGCCTGGCCAACATGGTCAAACAGCATCTTTGCTAAAAATACAAAAATTAGCCGGGCGTGGTGGTGGCATGCCTGTAATCCCAGCTACTCAGGAGGCTGAAGCAGGAGAATCACTTGAACCTGGGAGGCAGAGGTTGAAGTGAGCTGAGGCAGAGCCATTGCACTCCAGCCTGGGCAAAAAGAATGAAACTTGGTCTCAAAAAAAAAAAAAAAAGAAAAGAAAATTGTCATAACTATCATATTCTACTTATTTCTAGAATGGTGGGAAAACATATTATTTTTAATATTTCTATAACCATTTTCTTACACTAAACACAGGATCAGGATCTGAAAGAGACACTGTCAGTTTTTCACAGAGAGTAGTCCAATTTTCACAGTTCAGGACATCAGATGGAGGAGCGGAACATAATGTTTGCAAGGCTTCGTATCTCACCTACAATTTTTTAAAAGACTTTTATTAACACTCAGTCGCTAAAATAACGCCACTTTTCCAAAACAATATTTAACAAGCTACTAAAAGGCAAAGTCTGGATAATTTATAAAGAGTGATTTATTAGATGCCTTTATATTAAAAAGCTCTTGAGAAATCATTTTTTAAACTAAGTGCTAAGCAGAGAAAAAAACAGTTGCTGTTTGTGTAAAGCAAAAATTAAAATACTAAATGTAGTAGCAGATTTTAAGTATCATGTCTAAGTGGAACGGGAGGAAGAACAGTAGTTGAATCAGAATCACCAACGTTTTCCAGTGACCTTGTCCTACAGGCTTTCCCTATTCTAGGTCGTTTCTACAGTTTGAGGACTTTAATTTCAAAATGCTGCCCAGATATGCCCCTGGCAAAGCATTCCCATTCTAGGATATATGCACGATTCTCACAAAACAATCAGTTTGAACTTGTGCTATACCATATTTTCTGGCCTTCTGACTACTTAGGTAGAAAAAAAAAGGAAGTCACTCAGTAGTGGGATGCAAAATCTAATTTATGTATTTTCATAGAAAGTTTACTTCTTAATCAGTCTTCTCAAAATGCAATCAGAATTCACTCAAAACAGTATGATCCAAGGGAAAGTAGGAGAGAATAGTTCCACTCCAATGAAGAATGGAACAAAGCTTTTCTCCCACTCAATATCCAAGTGGTGAATAATAACACACTAATTCCAGCCTCATCCTCAAAATCTGGTCATTTCCCAACTGAAACAACTAAAGCCTAGTCATTAAAAAGGTGAGGCCTAAAAGACAGGAGCCAAAACCTCAGCAAATCAGACACTCTGAATCAGGGCGCAACTTTTAGACAAAAAAGACAAAGAATATACACATATTTGAAACTGTCTATATATTCATATGAAAGAACTCCTCAATATAACTTTATTTGTGATAGGTAGTAAGGAAAATATTGAGAGTTTTTAAAATTAGTAATTCATTTACAATGTTAAGTCATTTTTCCATTTCAGGAAATTTTTAGGAAAAAATCCCATTTAGAATTTACTACTTGCAGAAGCAAAATGAAGGTTTCTGAACAAGTATAGATTTCCAAATCATCCATTTAAATTGAAGGCAACAGGATTTTTATCATAAAAAATTCAAAACTCATTTCCAATATTTTTTGAGAGATGTTATTATTAGTATGAACCCAGAAAATAAATCATAATGCAAAATGCTAAGAAGAAAAAAATTATTCTTCTCTATGATTTTTTAGAAAATTTCAGTAGGAGTAAATCACAACTATTCATTCAGTTTATATTTAATAGGTTGAGAAAAATAATTTTAAAAATTGAGACCAAATGGCAAGATAGGCATACCAATACATAAAAGGCTTAGATTAAAAAAAAAAAAATTCCTATCATATTTTCTATTTCATGCTGACTTTCAAATGAAATAAGTCTTCATAAACAGTGATTTGTACACTCTCTTAAAATATAAACAGACACAATTAAATATAATTGCTTCTCTCAAAAATCCTTTTTCTGGCCAGGCACAGTGGCTCACATTTATAATCCCAGCATTTTGGGAGGCCAAGAGGTGGATCACTTGAGCACAGTATATCCAGATCTTCCTAAGTAATGTGGCAAAATCCCATCTGTACCAAAAATACAAAATTTCTCCAGGTGCAGTGGCGTGCATCTGTAGTCACAGCTACTTAGAAGGCTGAAGTGGGAAAATCACCTGAGCCTAGGGAGGTACAGGCTGCAGTGATTCATGATTGCGCCACTGTGCTTCAGCCTGGGTGACAGAGTAAGATCCTATCTTAAAAAAATATATATATAATTTTTCTAAAAAATAAACAAATGGGTCAAAATTGCTCAGATAGTTAGGGGAGGCATGGGTAGATGCTGGTCAAAGGATACAAAATTTCAGTTAGGAGAAGTAAATTCAAGAGATCTACCGTGTAACATGATGACATGATGACTATGTTAACAACAATGTTTTATTCTTGAAAACTGCTAAGAGAGTAGATTTTAAATGTTCTCACCACAAAAAATGATAAGTATGTGAGGCAATGCATGTTAGAGCAGCTCAACTTAGCCATTCCTCAGTGTATACATATTTCAAAACATGTTATACAAGACGAATATACATAATTTTTATTTGACCATTAAAAATAATTATTTTTAAAAGATGTTCACATTTTCTGAAAGTAGAAAAAGAATTAAAAATCTTTTTTCTTAAGAAATGACTAACTACAATGTTACATATAAAACAACAATGAAAGAACAGTTTGGGGGACAACTGCCTATAACTTTATCCCTTTGAAATTGATGCTAAAGATAAAAATTTCCTCTTCCAAACCACGACAATTCTCTAAGGAAAGCCTCCCTTACTCTGTGACTTTTCATTTGGACTTGAAAATTTACCATGGATACTGGTCTAGGATTGCCCATAATCATAAAGGCTTTAGCCTCAAGGGAAACTACCTGGTTGCTACTGATTGTAATCTCATATATGGTAAATATATGCTATCTGCATGAAACTTAACAGCTATCCTTGAAACTTACCTCTTTAGGTTGCCCAGGATCCAACTGGTCTAAAATCAATTGTAATTTTCCTTGACAAAATTTGTAACTCTGTAACACAATTGACAGGACATTCATTTATTTAAAAGACTTTTAGAAATATTGCTATAAGTTATTTTTTCAATATAATTCCAAGCACAAAACATAATTCAGACAAGAGAAGGAGATGATCTATTTTGATTTGGCAGCAACTTAGAATTTTTCTTCCCAAGACTTTTAAATGGGAACTGAATGTCGCAGTAGAATAGTGTACCTTCACGTATATGAAAACTATTATTTGCAAGCAATTAAAACATATATAACATTATAAGACTGAAAAGACACAAAGCCAAAATGTTGTATACTCAGAAATGTGAGATGAATGAAACAGATAAACAAAACAAACAAGTTTAAAAAAAAGCTACCAATAGTACCATAGGCACAGCTACAGTGCTGTGTGGACTGTTTTGTTCTCTTGCTTTCCTATTCTTTTCCCTAGCCTTTCTCCTTACTTCTTTGGTGAAAAAAATCCTGAAGTAAAAACTTCCATCTATAAAAAAGTTTGTAGTAGATTATAGGATATTTTGGAGAAACAAAAGGTATTTTTTCCACCAAAGGCAATTTAAACATACATAATATCTAAAACATCATCTAAAAATAAAAAGTATAATAGTAGGCCAGGCACGGTGGCTCACACCCGTAATCCCAGCACTTTGGGAGGCCAAGGTGGGCGAATCATGAAGTCAAGAGATTGAGACCATCCTGGCCAACATGGTGAAACCCTGTCTCTACTAAAAATATAAAAATTACCTGGGTATGGTGGCACACGCCTGTAGTGAGCCAAAATTGTGCCACTGCACTCCAGCCTGGCAACTGAATGAGACTCCATCTCAAAAAAAAAAAAAAAGGTAAGGAAACAACAGATGCTGGCAATAAACTTTCAATAAACTATCTCTTCTCACTGCACTCTGCAACTTGCCTTGAATTCCTTCCTGCACAAAATCTGAGAACTCTCTTGGGTTCTGGGTCAAGACCACTTTTCCCGTAACAAAGCAATCCTCCTGCCTCAGTCCCCCGTCACTGGGAATACAGGCACACAATGCCATGCCAAGCTAAGGTGGGGGGTGTGTGTGTGTGTGTGTATGTGTGTGTGTGTGTGGAGACCTTGTCTCTATGTTGCCCAGACTGGTCTCAAGCAATCCTCCTGCCTTGTTCTCCAAAGGTGCTGGGATTACAGGGATGAACCACAATGCCTGCCTGGCCTTTATTTTTTTTTTTTTTTTTTCTTGAGATGGCGTCTCACTCTGTCGCCCAGGTTGGGGTGCAGTCGCGCAATCTCAGCTCACTGCAACCTCCGCCTCCCGGGTTCAAGCAATTCTCCTGCCTCAGCCTCCCAAGTAGCTGGAACTACAGGTGCGTGCGCCACCACGCCCGGCTGATTTTTGTATTTTTAGTAGAGACGGGGTTTCACCATGTTGGCCAGGATGGTCTCGATCTGTTGACCTTGTGATCTACCCACCTCGGCCTCCCAAAGTGCTGGGATTACAGGAGTGAGCCACCGCGCCTGGCAATAATTAAAATCTTATCAGGTGAGGGTAGCCAGACATTGAGAAACTTCTGAAGTACAGGTTGGGATGTAGCTAATCCTATTGCTCTGAGTGATGTTGCCAAAAAAGAGATCGGTGTCTTGCCATTTCTCAGTAGTTGTATAAAATCCTCAAAGGCAGAATTCTTCACCAAAAAGAGCATTATAGAGCTTTGAAGATTTTAATAGAGGCCAGAAAACAGTTGCTGAACTCAAGATATTCTGATTAAGATTTGAATAGCATAAAATAAATTAGGATAATTGAAAGGACATACTCTGAATGACAGGAGAAAGGCCATGTACCCAATAAGGAAAAAAACCTACTCAAGAAAATTCTTACTGGAAGAATCCAAAGCTTAGCAACATAGAGCTCAAGTTGTTCCCAGGAAAGACAGAATCTATTTCTTTGCCTTTTCCAGCTTCTAGAGGCCACCCTCATTCCTTGGCTTATGGCCTACTTCCATCTTCAAAAACAGCAATCACATCACTACAACCTCCGTCAGTCTTAACAGCGCCTACTCTGACTCTGATCCTCTTGGGTTTCTCTTACACAGACCTTTGTGATGAGATGGATCCCACCTGGATAACTCAGGATCATCCTACAATCTGAAGGTCCTTAACTTAATCACATCAGCAAAGTCCCTTTTGTCATGTCATGTGACATGTTCACAAGTTCTAGGGATTAGGACATGGACATCTTTGAGAGGACCATTATTCTATGTATGACAGGTACCAAAGGATGGGTTTCAAAGAGAAGTTGCTTGGAAAACAAAGGAAGAGTGAATACTTTAAACATGTTTGTGTCAGGCAAGAGTAATAGGTGACTATTATCCTAAACTCACCTTCTGCGTAAAGGTACACACCCTGGGGTGAAGTTCCCTTGGAAGGTTATAAAATAGCTGCACGCTATAAAACAGCCCAATGCCTGTGCTATACTATACTAATTACTACGGAGGAAGAGAAAGACAGAAAAACTGCAAGAGGAAAGGATATGAATTCTGAAAGCTTAATGTGTATCAGAGGTAATCCTCTAATTTCCCAAGCAGTTAGAAATGGCACAGAGATGATCAGTTTGAAATCATATAGGACCACAGCTGAGAAATTTTTATATTTGAGTGTGTCTCTGAATTGTGTCCATTTCAGCATTCCCTTTAAGAGACGTCACCAATAAAAGCTAACCTGTATAAAGCAGTGTCTGTGTGCCAGGCACTGCTCTAACACAAGACATACATTAACTCAGTTAATCTTCTCAACAACCCTATATGGTAAGTAGTATTTTCATCCCCATTTACAAATGGGAAACACTACAGCACAAAGAAGTTAAGAAATTTGTCCAAGGCCACACAGCTAGTAAGTGGTGGAACCATAACTTATACCCAAGCAGTCTCCAGGTAGCTGGGAAAAGAATAAAGAGAACCGACTTTGCAGGGAGAGAGGCCATTTTTAAACTCAAAGTCCCCCTTCACTAGCTATTCAAGTTTGGGTGAATTATTTAACTATTATTATAAGCCTCACTTTTTTCTGTAGAATGGACTAGTAATACCTATAGTGAATATAAAGCTAAGTACAGGGACCAGTATACGGCAGGTATTATTATTAGAGCTGGTATTATTATTTCTATCTTTCTGGCATTATCTTGCAGAGACTTGTTCCAGGTTTAATCACAATATCAAATCTTTTCATAGTAATGCTTGCAACTATGGTAACAACTACTGTCTCTCCTTTGTTCTTCAATATCCTCACACTTACACTAACAGTCTCCTGTTTTTCAATAATGGGTCAAAACTCCAAATATAATCAGGCTGCAATTTTTTAAGTAATAACAATGAATTAAAGCCCATTCTATTCACAAAACACAAGTATTTCACTAATATCAAAACAGTTAACATCAGCATTGTTTACAATGTTATTCATAGGAAAATTCAGATCTTTTTTTTCACTCCACAGCAAGAAACAACAATTTTGAAGGCATGAATAAGATTGTCAATATTTATTGGAATGAATGACTAATATAATTTTAGAGATATTTTCAATTCTGAATATATTCAGTCTCTCTTTGGTCAGCTATATGAAAGACAGTCTCATTTCACTATAAGCAAAACTATACCCAATATCTCTTAGAACCTGGACATACTGAAATAGCTTTCAGGACAGTTCTGGCACTCTTACGCTTCTTCCCAAAAGTCCAGGGATACCATGCCTTCTTGATGGGCAGAGTTTGCTTTCAACCCAATTAGTGCCTTCTAAAACAAAGTTGTATTTATAGGATAGACATGTGAAAACTTATATATACCCTGTGGACATCCCAAAGATATCCAGGGAAACTTAAAGCATGATTCCTCCTCAAGAACTGAAACAAAACAAGATTAAAAAAAAAAAAAAAAAAAAAAAAAATTCATCTTCAAAAACTATAACCCCATTTCTACCAAAGCTTTGCATGTTTTAAAAATCTACCATTTTAATGACTGGAAATAATTCAGCATTTGGGATTTGGCAAGGTCTTAACTGCCAGCTACGAAATCGGTCCTATTTAGATCTGAATACCTGTACTTGTTAGAACAAATGCTCCATTTTTTTTTCTTATGTTTCAATTTCAATGTATTCAGGTGGTTCAGCAAGTAAGTAAGAACGTATAATCTTGTGAGCCCCCAGAGTCATAAAATTGCGTTTTTTGTGCCTTTTAAGTCCAGAAAGTCCTTGATTTGAAGAAGCAGCTCAGTAAACTTACTAAACAAGTCATCTGACCGTATTAAACTAAAATCTCTATACCCCACCTTTTTCCACATAGTTCCTCAACAAGAAATGATTAAGGGTTACAACATGAAGAAAATTCACAATCTTTGTCTTGTCCTCCATCACATCAGGTAATCAATTTGACTTGTAAAGTTCACTACTCAGCATAATCTCTCCTGCTAAATGATGCAATGGTGGCAATGCACAGGTGGCAATGCACAAAGCATAACCTTTAAGTTATGCTTCCAATATTTCCAAAACCATTTTTCCTTCAATCACGCAGTCCCAACTTGACCAATATACATATTTGTTCATGTTTTCATCCAAACTCCTCAAATCCCTTCCTGGTATATGGTTAGGACCTATTTTATAGTTATGTCCCTGTGGTATAGCTTATTAGGTAAAAAATGTTTGACTAAAAATACCAGGTGAGATCGACACTAAGGTCAGACAGGCTTCTTTTGGCCTGGTAGTCTTTGTGTACAAGTCCATGGCACATGCATAGGCTCTAGTCCAGCTAGTTTTCCTTGTCTTCTATTAGGGCCAATCCAGTCACTGGCCCCATCTTCCTCTTAATTTTGCTGCAGCCAAATGACAAGGGTTCCTACAACCTGGTAGTAGAAAATGTAAGACCTCAAATCTCTTGACATTAAAAAAAAGCTTAATGTTTTAAAACTAACAATTCACAATTTTCACCTCCAGAGAATGTATAAAGGAAATGTTTTATCGTGACACGTAATCTCTAATTTAGTTAAATTTTAATGCAGATTAACTGGGAATAAGATGTTTTAACTAGAGCTTAAGCAGATTTGGTTCAACACGCTATTTTTTTTAATTCTAACATACATTAATTTCCTCATCTCACCAAGAATTGTCTCAAATATAATGTAGCTACTCAATGAACATAATTCTATAAGATGTTATTTCATGGACTAAATATTTAATATTAGGTTATTTAATTTTATTGTTTATTTTTCTTCTGAATCTTAAGAAGGCAGGAAAAATATGGCTAAGAAATAATTTATTGAAGCTATTATTAAACACCACTTCAAGACATAAATGCAAAACAAAACAACATACCTGATTGAATGACAAATCACTATCAGAGCAATTGTCTGTGCAGTAACTACGGCTTTTCTCCTTTTGGATTTTTTTCTGCCTCTCTTGATTTCGTGTCTCATCTTCTTCAAACTTGTTAATCATAGACTCAACCACAGCTATCATAATGTTCTTCAGGTAATGCATCATTTCTTTGTACCTTTAAATTCAAGGTAGTCTTAATAAGAGAAATGCGATCAGAAATTAAAACAGTCAACTAGTTAAATTATCTATTTTTCTATAAAAAGGGAAGTCCCTTTACGAACACAATGCTAAACAGAAAACTCAAACTCAATTTTTCCTAAAGAAGAAGTGGTAGAACAGAATTCACAAAACAGCAATAAAAATTAATAGGGAATTCAAAAAGTATGTTATTTCCTGGGTTTTTTCATGGTTACGTGGACCAAGGTAGTAAAATTAAAAGAACGTAAGGCAAGAGGTTTCAATGGCATGGATTCCAATTGCTAGCAAAAAAGTCAACTATTAATATTATACCACCAAAACCCAGGCTAACTTACACATAACCTTCATCCTCTTGTCTTATACCTATCTCTTTCTCCACCCCTCCCATCTTCTATTTTCTTTCCTTCTCTTCTCCCTTGTCCACACTTTATAGACACCCATAGACACAACTGAGAGCTCTTGTATATTCCCAAGACCTATGTAAGAGTTAAGCTATCAATGTATCCTTTCAAACAGAGGTGGGAAACCCACTCTCAGGATGTTAGGAAAAAGATTCCTGAAATTATTAAGAGTGTGAATTAGATAATATTTAAAATCTCTTCTGGTTGGTCTAAAAAGCTTAAAAAGAACTGGTATCAAATTTCTCCACTTTGTAAGTTCAAACTCTCAAGCATCCCTATGAATACGAAACTGAAATCCTCAAAAGCACTACGAATAGAATTTTAGAGCTAGAAAGAACCATAAATATAGTTGAGCTCTTTATTTTACAAATGAAGCATGTGTGACCTGAACCACTGAAATTTCTATATTTAAAACAAAAAAGGCATAAAGATGTAAATAAAAATAGTGAATAAATTATAAAATTTGAAATTAGAAAACTTGAATGGGGATCCTGACTATTTTACCGGCCAGCTCTGTCATCATGAATAAGTTTCAATTTCCTCAACTATAAAATGCGACTAAAAATACAATCTAGCTAACCTATTTCATATGACTATAGCAAGAAATAAATATGTGTGTGTATATACATATATACACATATATGTCTGAAATGATAATAAATACATGTATAGTGTGTGTGTATATATACATATATACATGTATTTATTGTCATTAAAATAATGAAAATACACTAGGAAACTATGCACAGAAATGTCCTTTTCTGTATAATTCTGGATAATGGGTCATTGTAACTCTATAAATCAAAAGAAGAAAAGGTACTTTATCTCTCATAAAAGAAATCAAATCTGCTGGGGAATTTGAATAGAAATCATAGACTGAGATTCTATATAAAAAGTATAAAATACATTTAAAATTTTTCTTGTTAAATAGATATAATTTCTACATAATTTAAACTATGTTAATATATTTAAATGCAATTTTTAATATGTATATCATATAGAACTATAAGTTTTGAAATACGCATATTTAACATATTTCTTTAAGTACCAGAAATTATGAGAAAACACAAAAATACTGAAAGCAGATGGAAATAAATTAGGAACCGCTAGGGGGAGAAACATACAGGAGACAACTCAATAGAGGTAACAAAGAGTCCAGGGAATATCCCAGTTTGATATAAAGGGACATCAAAAAGAAGTCTGAGACACACACACTAATTTGCAAAGTATATTTAAGGATAACTGAGCTCGGAGATCCAGCTTCTGCCTCTACAGATTCTGGGCAGCAACAAACAGGGAAACAAAACAGTGCCCTGGCAGCAATCAATACACATCCATCAAAAGCTGTTCTCTCCTTCCACAGTGATTGAATTCTAGCTGGGCACAGGACTAAAGTACACTCCCCAGCCTCCTTTGCAGCTAGGGAAGGTCATGTGAACAACATAAAGTCCCTATCTCCTTAAAACTTATAATCTGGTGATTTAATAAAGAAGTATAAAAGTAAATCTTAATGATATACAGGATAAGGACAATGGTACTTAAAATCCATAGAAAATCTATAAGTTTTGCTTTGAAAATAAATGTTTCCAACAGACCTTTTAGAAAAGACCAGCATAAATTATGCTGTAAAAAAATACTAAAAAAATGGCCACAGGCAGCAGCTAATAATTCTAAAAAGTAAATTAAAAAATAGTGTCATATCATCAATATCAAGAGTTAAATGAACTAAAACTCAATAGCAGCCACTGCAGTTTTGAAAAGACTAAGAAAAAACAGATATAAAATAGAATATAAACACCATTGAGTAGATTCTTTCATGCTTTGCAAGTTTTAAAGACTACAGAAAGAAAAAGCTCTAAGAAATAGTGAATAAAAACCACATCAATTAACAATGAAATTCTACAGTACTTCCACTCATTATATGAGGAATATTGTATATTATATAGATCCTATAAATGAATTATTCTGTGTGCAAACATCTGTTTAAAAAATAAATCTCGAAATGTTTAATTACAAAAATACTTTATAACAACTGTAATGATGTCTACAGATGTAGTGTTGCCACATTAGCCCTAAGTGATTTCTGAAGAATCGCCAAAAAAAAAAAAAAAAACTGAAAAAACAAAAAAATGCTGCACAATGTAAAATCTTTCATCCATGGTTCATAAAGTGGAAAATAAACATTTACTGAGTCATTTAAAATCTTTGTGAGGTAATCATTACTGTATTAATTTTAACACATGGATGAACTAAAACACAGGAAAATCAAATAGCTTAAATAGAGATAAAAAGTAATTTCCTAGCAGTACTATATAAAATTCTGCTCTTACCATGAAAATACTTTCATTAGCTGACTAATAAAGTATTTTAGTATTCCTTCTAGAATTGTTTAATGATACTGCTAGAAACAGACTTACTAGGAATTATAATATTATCCAAAGATAAAGGTGATTCTATTTTTTGTTTTCCCCAAATCAAGAAATAAGAAATCTTAGCCTCTATAATTTACGCTTGATATAGATTAGTGCATCAAACTTGCTAAATTTACTAAAATAGCTGTATGATGTCACTTTGTCAATTACAACATATTAATTTAAATAATACAATCAGTTGTCCCAAAGAGGAAGAGCTGTTGTCCAAAATAATTTTTTTTAAGTTTAACTAATTAAAAGTAAATTAGATTTAATACTTTAAAATACAGTCAGTAATATAAGCTCAGGTATATATTCAAATGTCTCTGATACTGGAAATATGAACCACAGCAGGTTTTCAAATGACATCATGTAATTCAACATCTTTTCATTAAAACATTGATGAGCAAAAAAAAATTGACGATGGCATCCTGCCTAGGGCTCGTTCCCACCTTGTACCCCGAGATGCCAGGCAGGATAGGCTACCAGCAACTCTGAAGTGGAATAATTATTCCAGTTAAATAACTATCTTGCCCTTATTAATCTTTCTTAAATGCATGTATAGCTCACACTTATTTCAGTGTTTAATATTACAAGCGTTTTCATCTTTATTTAGAAGTTTGGTGATGTTTCTTTGGCCAGAAATAGGCTCTAGGAACTTAACTGTTGTTTACATCAATTAACCTAGACCCCAAAAAAAGTGAAGGAGCAAGTTATGCAAATATTTGGGAAAAGGGCATTCCAGGTAACAGGAGCAACGTGAGTGCGAATACCTCGGGAAAGGACTTACTTGGTTTTTTGTGAAAGGGCAGGCAAGACCACAGCATGAGGGGGGAAATGGTAAGAAGTGGAGTAGGAGAGGGAGCAGAAGGCCCATGGTAGGCCTCATTGGGCTTGGCTACAAAAAGAATTCTGGGTTTTACTCAAAACGAGATGGGAAGCCTTTGGAGAGTCTGGGTGAAAGGGTGTCGTGATCTGACTCACTGTTTTAAAGAATCATTCTGGCTGCTACGAGAGAAATAGACTGTGAGTGACAGAGATCAAGGTGCTGTCAAGAAGTCTCATTGAAGAAAATGTTATTTGAAAATATTATTATGGCCATACTCACTCTTTAGATTCTTGAGTTCTTTTAGTGACCTGCTGTACAACTGTATCATAGCCGCATTCTTCACCTTGATTCTGATCAGATGTGCATTTTTCCATTTCTTCTTCAATCATAGAACCCAAAGTGTTGCCTATATGTTGTCTGAGGTATTTCACAAATTCATAGCTGAAACAAATATTTAGAAATTAAATACGGTAAATATCATAAGCATATTCAGAAAAAAAATCAACACAGAAAGGTAACATATTAAGATTTTGTACCTTAAACTAGGATTAAATTGGTCATTCATCACATATCATCAAGCTAATCTACAAATTTTTGGCTATTTTTTTCTGAGACACTTGGCAAAAATCATCATTTAAAGATTACCACAGTAGGAAAAAGCAAATTTCAGAAGCAACCCAAACTTTAGCAGTTAGAAGTCTCTTCACATTTCTTTTTTATGTTCCTATCTTTAACATGTGACAGTGAAGAGTATGAAAGGCAGTTGTTAAGGATTTTCAGTTATTCAAGCTGATGAGGAAAATCATCTAGAATATAGTAATCATGAAATAAGAAATTGGAAAAAGTTAACTTCCATCATCAGAAGAGTTTTGTGTACATTTTGAAAGTAGTAACTGATGTAACTTCCACCTAAACAGTTCTTATGTTACTAAGATTATCATTATTATTAAATTCAAGACACACTTCGCCATTGGTATTTAAAGCCCTCATAGATTCCAATTTATCCTACCAGATCTATGTCCCATTACTACCTTACACATGCCCAACTCTCCATGTGATGTTTATTCCCAATACCTTTGAAAACATTATTTCACCCACTTAAGAGTGTTTTACCACCACTCCTATAGATTATCTTCTACAGCCTAAAATGCTACCTTCTGATAAAAGCTTTCCTCGTTTCTCAACAACTGATATCCTTTCTCACCTAAGACCCAAAAGTACTCTGTCCTTCTCTATTAGCATGCAAAACATTTTCTTGGATGCAGTTATATGACCTGCTTTATCTCCTGCTTCATTCCTGACCACCTCTACACCCAGATTTCTACATTGTTTATAGACTTGACAACAGAACAAATCCACTTGTCTATCATCTGCAATATCTTGTACACAGTAGGCACTTTATAAATACTTGTTAGATTGAAATATAGCATTGGGGAAAGGTTTATCTCTTCATTTTCTACATCAGCGGCTGTGAATTTGAATTTGCTTATTTTTTCTAAATATTTGTTTTAGTTGTTAATACTTTGTTCATTTAATGTCTATTAACAAACTTCTGATGACATTATACAATAATTACCCCCATATATGCCCTCTTATCCTTCCTGTAATTCCCCTATAAGAAAAGGTGGATGAAAAGAAGAAAAAAAAGAAAGTGTACAGCAAAAAGCACTCTCCTCTTTCCGACTACCCACCACATTTTTGGCACTAACAGCATTATTTTTCAAGACTCCCAAACTTGACAACATGGAACACTCTTTAATGTCTGCATCTTCTACACCCCTTGCCCATCCACTCAGTCAGTCACCAACATGTGTTAGTGTTCCTGTACATCCCTGGCTTTCATCACTGCCTCCCTTTTTTCTCTACCAATCAGTACAAAGCCATATCACTTCAAACAGAGATTACTGCAGCAGCCTTCTTGTTTGACTTCTCACTTTCCTCCCTCTTCTCTCATATTTTCTTCCCTCTCATATTCATCCCAAACACTGTAGTCATATTAGCCTTCCAAAAGAACTTATTTCACTATTTCAGTCAGAGCTAGAGCCATTTTACTCATACCAATACCTCATACCATGTCACGGACGCACATAATGCCTCAATAAATATTTGCTGAATTTAAAACAATTGGCTGCCTATTATCTTTCATGGTCAAATACTGCTTCCTTGGCCTGGACTTTAAATACCTAATCAATCAAATCTCTTTATAAGAGTATCTCTACTTAAACGATGCTACATTCAAAATTCCCAACAAACCTCCAACTATGTTGATCTTCATATGAGAAAGTGATAAACTGGCCAGGCACAGTGACTCATGCCTATGATCCTAGCATTTTGGGAGGCCAAGGTGGGCGGCTCATGAGGTCAGGGGATCGAAATCATCCTGACCAAATGGTGAAATCCCATCTCTACTAAAAATACAAAAATAGCTGGGCGTGGTGGCACGTGCCTGTAGTTCCAGTTACTCAGGAGGCTGAGGCAGGAGAATCACTCGAACCCAGGGGGCAGAGGTTGCAGTGAGCCAAGATTGCACCACTGCACGCCAGCTTGGTGACAGAGTGAGACTCCATCTCAAAAAAAAAGATGATAAACTAACTTGTAAGTGACTACCACGCTAAACTCTGTGCTAAGCACTTCATTAATATTATTTTATTCACCATATGATAGGTAAACAGATGAAGACACATATTCAAAACATGAAAAAATCTTGTTAAATTCATAAGCTACTAATTCATTCACTTTACTCCAAAGCCCATGTTAATCCCATAATCCCAGAGTCCCAACGATGTAAAAATATCAGAAGTGTTATAAGATATTTTGTAGTTGCAAATTGAGTGAAAAGGGAAATAAATAAATGTAATATCTTTACCAATTTGTATATTATTTCAATTTCATTTTGCAAGAAAAATTAAATTTTATTCTCCCAAAATTATAACTAGCATATTAAATTTAAAAGTATAATTTACTTATTTTAATTATTGATTGAATTTCCTTTAAAATGTTCAATATTTATATTCGATATTTAGATAGTAAATCCTATGCGGTAAGGGAATAAGTATTAAGAATAGCAGAAGAGGAAGATGAAGCTATTTTGTAAATCCAATGTCTTATAACATTAGATTGAAATAGCAAATATTAATTTTCAGAAATGCAATCCAAGAAAAACAAAACCCAAAGCTTACTGAATCATATATCATAGAAAACAGCCTCTAATCATCATCTAAATAGTCTGCGCTTCTTTTGGTAATTCATCATTGACTTACATTATCTGAAGATCTTCCCATATACATGGAAACTTCCCATCTATACTAAATATTTACTCATTATTTAATTTGTGTATGTCTAATTACAAACCAAATCTTTGCACATTCCATACAAAACAGTGAAATCACACTGGTAATAAAAAAATTTCAAAAATTAAGCTTTCAAGAGAATCCTTTAAACATGTCCTCAATTTTGTAATATCTGACAATGTCCATACTGCTTCTACACACAGCTGGCTCTGAGACAGAGCTGGCAGATGTGCATGATGAGGTAAGTCAAAAAAAAGCTCTTTGGGTCAGGTGCAGTGGCTCACACCTGCAATCCCAGTACTTTGGGAGGCCAAGGCAGGTGGATCACCTGAGGTCAGGTGTTCAAGACCAGCCTGGGCAATATGGTGAAATCCCGTCTCTACTAAAAATACAAAAAAATTAGCTGGGCATGGTGGCATGTGCCTATAATCCCAGCTACTTGGGAGGCTGAAGCAGGAGAATCGCTTGAGCCCAGGAGGTGGAGGTCGCAGTGAGCCAAGATTATGCCATTGCACTCCAGCCTGGGTGACAGAGCAAGACTCTGTTTCAAAAAAAAAAAGCTCTTTGTTCTCCACCACAACCATGCGTCCACAACCAGGAACCCAATGAATCAAGAATCAGAACATCTGATATTTCAGTTGCATAAAAGTATCACTGCTTTCCAAAAAGAACAAAGCTGGAGGCATCATGCTACCTGACTTCAAACTATACTACAAGGCTAACCAAAACAGCATAGTGCTGGTACCAAAACAGATATACAGACCAATGGAACAGAACAGAGGCCTCAGAAATAATGCCACACATGTACAACCATCTGATCTTTGACAAACCTGACAAAAACAAGCAATGGGGAAAGGATTCCCTATTTAATAAATGGTGTTGGGAAAACTGGCTAGCCACATGCAGAAAGCTGAAACTGGATCCCTTCCTTACGCCTTATACAAAAATTAACTCAAGAAGAAATAAAGACTTAAACATAAGACCTAAAACCATAAAAACCCTAGAAGAAAACCTAGGCAATACCATTCAGGACATAGGCATGGGCAAAGACTCCATGACTAAAACACCAAAAGCAATGGCAACAAAAGTCAAAATTGACAGACAGGATCTAATTAAATTAAAGAGCTTCTGCACAGCAAAAGAAACTATCACCAGAGTGAACAGGCAACCTACAGAATGGAAGAAAATTTTTGCAATCTACTCATCTGACTAAGGGCTAATATCCAGAATCTACAAAGAACTTAAACAAATTTACAAGAAAAAAACAAACAACCCCATCAAAAAGTGGATGAAGCATATGAACAGACACTTCTCAAAAGAAGACATTTACGCAGCCAAGAAACATATGAAAAAAAGCTCATCATCACTGGTCATTAGAGAAATGTAAATCAAAATCACAATGAGAAGTATAACTCTTGGGTATGATTTGTTATAAAGCCCAATCTGTAAGCAACACAAAGGATATATCTGTAATTGAGGCCGTAAGGAAAGTTAACACAAGCGCATTAACAAAATGTAGCCAATAAAGCTAAAAAAACACAATTCTAAAAGAAAAGGCACATGAAAAAAATCCCTGTAGAGAAGGAAGGGATACAACTAGATAGGAGGAAAAAGTTCTGGTGTTCTATTCTTCAGTAGGATGACCATAGTAACAATAAAACATTATACAGTTTCAAACACCTAGAAGGAAGATACTGAATTGAAAGAAATGATAAATGTCTGAGATGATGAATATGCTAATTACCTTGATCTGTATGGAAACATCACTGTGTACTCCATAAATACATTCAATTATTATTTGTCATTTTAAAAATGAAATTCACTTTTTTAAAAATCTCCACCATTTAGCAACAGCTTTAAATAGCAAATATCCTGGAAAATGTTTAAATCTACTCTGTGGAAATTTGAATAACCTCATGCTTTTTTCTAGTGACATAATTTTTACCTATGACCACAGTAATATCTCCAGAAGACTCATTCAAAATGCTTCCAGGTTTTCATCCAAGTTCTAAATTAAATGAACCCAAGGACCCCAAGGTTAAATCTTGTCTTAAGAGGTTACTGCTCTTTTCAAAAGAAACTTCTAGGGAGAAAAAAAAAAATCTCCAGGGTTGGCAATGCCCTTTATCACGAAAGGACTGCCAGGCTGCC